GTCTCATAGAAACGAGCAGATGTCCATTCATTGTGAACTATCGACATTTTCACCGTGGGGAAGACTTCATGTATCTCATTCTTGATCTTTGCGAAGAAACCTTGAGGGAACTTGTTCATGCATCCAGTATTGAACATCTACAAGAGCATGGTTCACAAATGATTTGGGAAATTCTATCAGGACTTGAATTTCTTCATGGTAAGGGAGTATTGCACAGAGATTTAAAACCATCAAACGTCCTGGTTGATATCACAGGTCGCATGAAATTGGCAGACTTTGGAATAAGCCGCGTTCTTAAAGACGATGAAACAACAATTAAAACATTTGCTAAAGGTACTCCTGGATGGGTGCCACCAGAAGTAATTGAAGCAATAGTTAAAAAAGAAAAGAGTCGTTTCAAAAAAAAATCAGATGTCCAGGTAGCGGGTATGATTGCTTTCTTCATCTTAACTAAAGGTGAACACCCTTTTGGATCTTCGTTAGATCGAATGAATAATATTTTAAAAGGAAACCCTGTCTATTTGAAAAAACTTGATGATCTCGGAGCTCAAAAGTTTGTGTCGTGGCTGATTAATCACAAGATCGATGATAGACCTTATGCTGACGAAGCATTGTGCGATTCTTTATTCAACGAGACAAATCCTACATTTTGAAGAATTGGGTTATTACATTCATGTCCTAATCCTCTATGTAAATAAAAAAATTGTGGACTTTGGCATCTCATACTCCTATGAAAGCCGGATAGCGCAATCCACCGGGTAGTGGTTTTTTGAACCGTTCTAAAAAGGCTTGCAGAAAAATAAAATTTCAGCTTTGGAACCAACAATTGTTAAAGAGTATCCTCAATTTAGGAATACTAAGATTTAATCAAATTTATACTAAACAACGTGCAAATGAAAAAATCTACTTTCCGGTGGATAGCGCTTTACGACCTTCATACAACCGACCCCTGTAGTTGAAGAGTTAATCGGAATTGATCGTAACTAGCTATGAATTTGCGTAAAAACATAACTCCCTCGGTTTCTTTTTTCAAACGGAACATTTAATGACGTATTTCCCCCAGTACAGGGATATTTAGTACGAATCGTCCTCGGTGAATAAACAAAGAAATGAGGTAATTAGGTCGCGCGCGCGAACAGTTCCTTTAAAGGTCGACACAGACCGAACGCGATGCGGCAACACGACGCGAATTTTGGATTTTCAGAAGCATGGAAAATATGGACGCCAGAGCAGTCAGAATGTTTTATTGTTATGTAATCTACAAGAATATTATGATACTTTAAAATTTATTTGATTTTGAAAAATTGAGAACGTTGAAAATTGATGCTTATATTTATGGAATTATAGCAGTATAAACACTTGCGCCACTTCTCTGGCTCCAGGTTTATTCTGTAACTGAAGCAGTGGAGCTGCAAATTGGAAATTGGATATGCCAGGCACTGACTACACTTGTACTACAAACGTATGACAATTAAAGATTATTTTCTCGAATATATTTGTCTCGGTGCTGATGTTGTATCGACACGCATTGTTAAGATGTAAAACATAAACCATTGAAGGTGGGTAAGTAGATTATAATCACAGTAATTTCCTTCTGTTCGGCAGAACTCAGAAGCGACTATAGAAATCATGTTGTTATGATCAAGACGAATCGCATATTTTGCGCGTCGCATTCGTGTGACGCATTTGTGCGTCGCGTGATTGCCATACACTACACGAATTTTATATCAGTGACTTAACAGGGTTGATGTTAGATAGATAGATAATTTATTGAAAGCACATTGCAGCTAAGAGCTGAATTAACCTCAGAGGCCTATAGTTTGGATATGTAGTAGGAGTATTTTGTTAAATTAGGTTCAAACATGGCAAACATTTATAAACTAGACCTAGACGCCTGCTCTAGCGTAACTCCGGCGTTCGTGATACTCTGGTTAATTGCAAATCTTCTAGATCTAAACATAAATACTGTAGTTCATCTTCACTTAGAAGCGTAGGGAACCTAAATGTCGTTGAATATTCGGACAGCACAACGTATTTTAACAGTTATAGAAATTCCGTATCTAAACCAACCTCATCCCCAGGGTCTACTCTGTGGGGGGCGCGCGGTTCGGGGCAACGAAGGGAAGAGTCGAAGACCCTGTGAAACACGTAGGGTCTGTGAAACACGTAGGGTCTGTGAAACACGTAGGGTCTGTGAAACACGTAGGGCCTGTGAAAGGATACCGGGTTTTTGCGGATACAAGTCCACATATTTTGTTTATTCTATAGCTACGAAATACCTTATTTTTCTTTATAAAGTCGTTAAACGTCTATTTTTACAGGTAGGTGTCGATAATCTCATATTTATCTAATTTTTAGTTCATATATGGCCAGTTCTATTGTGGGCCCCCACTACTCTGGCTTATATGCTCCGCATTATAATTGTTATTATGGTATGATTAGGGATATTGTGAGTAAAGGGATACATTCTGCTTTTATTGCAAATCAGCTAAATTTCTAAACCAAATCTATTTGGGTTAGTCATATGTCTCTTGATTCTGGCTAAAATATAAAACTAATAGTCTTCACAAATGGTATTTTTATGGAGATAATGATAATTACTGTCTTCTGCATTTCTTTTTTGCATTTTGCATTTTCTGCATTTTCGACGTCACCGGTTTGAGCGCGCGGGAGAGGACTAACACAAAATGTTTTTAATTCTTACAGCGGATTCCATTTGACAAAACAACAAGCGTTCCCAACGCATGTTGGGTCGTTTAATATATGACTTTTGAAATTTCACATGCACTGATTCCAAAAAATGGGCGAAGCGTTCCATTTGTGCTTTGACATAGTTGCAGTGTTGTTGAAAGAAAGTGCTTTAAAGAAAGTGCTTGTGTTAAAATTAGAATTCCCCATGACTATAGGATCGCCCTTTCGTATCGACTTTCCACATTTTATTAACACTTCTATACATAAAAATAATAAATAATTATTTCAATTATGTGCAACAAGTGAGGGAACACAGCAAACCGGTCAGCCATTTTGAGCTGATATACGTGAGTAGTTCGACCAATCAGATTACAGAATAACTCATATACAGTGAGTAGCTATATTATAACAAGAAATATTATATCTCAACTGTAAATCATCCAATCAGAAAGCTCGATTTGTTCCACGTGATCAGTAAATTAATTATGGAGTTCCATCGAATTTTTTCACATTATGCTATAAAAGTCGAATTCCCCGCTGCAGCGTGTACCACGCGTGGATGCCTCGCACACGACTCGAGGTTTTCAACAATTTCAAAATGGAGCGAAGCCCTCGGGATATATCTTCCCTTGGGGGTAATATTTCGTCGAATTCCCCTCGATCCAGGTCTATAAATGATAATTATTCAGAGAAAGGTCAATGTTATCGGCGGCGGATAACATTGACCGAGGTCTGAATAATTCTTGAAATCATTCAAAAGCCGAATCCAATAATTGTTTTATTATACATTTAAAGTCATCAGAAATGTTCGTATGATTAAAAGATGTTTATAAATGCTTATTTTATTTTATTAATGTATATTTATTTTATTTTCGTGCTCTTTTGCTTTCTAATTGCTGGTTATTGGATGCTGAGCACGTCAGCAGCTGAAATTACGTAATAAATACAGAATATTGAGATCAACCGGTGCTTTCTGACCAATCAGGAACGACAATACACACGAAATGTATAATAATAGGAGTTATTATTAATTCAATAAGCTGATGTCTATGCATCTGTGGAATTTGCATAGCGCTCATGCAGAAATACAAATTAGAATACATGCATAGGATAATTTCTATACAAGGTGTATAAAAAAATTACCCGTTGCTTCGTCTCCAATGATCAAACTTTTCACATTTTTTTCAACAAGATGCATGACGATATGAGCTGACACGAGGATCAACAATTCGACCAATTTTATTTTTTTTAAATTTGACGTAAAAGGCTGCATAAAATCTTAATTGTCCGAAGACTAGCAAGAATACAAAATGTGTCCTTTACCGGTGCGGTTATCATGCGTTCAAATCCCAACAAAAGCTTTATTTCAATATTGGGTACTTTTCTTTCTACACTGTCACTTTTTTGGGGCCATATCGCTATATAAAAATCAGAACAACATGGATTGTACTTGGCCGGAAAATTATTCGCGGGCTGGGCCTCTCCTTTTTGAACGGGCTAAACTTCTCCTTTAGGAAAGGGCTGGGTATCTCTTTCAGGAAAAGGCTGGGGCCCTCCTTTAGAAAAGGGCAGGATCTCTTCTTTAGGAAAGGGCTGGGCCTCTCCTTTAGGAAAGGGCTGTGTTTCTTCTTTAGGAAAAGGCTGGGCCTCTCCCTTAGAAAAGGGCTGGGCTTCTCCTTTCCTCTTAAAAGGGCCTCGATTCCTTGAGTTGAAGCGCGCATATTAGTTATTTGGGATGGTTGAGTGGTTTTCCTGACATTACATGCAATTTATGCTCGTGCCACGCTGCCGAGACGATCGTCGGTAATACCAGTGCTCTTAATTCAGTGTAAATGTAAGGTTATTGCCATTACGATGTTTGTTAAATGGCTGGTTTAAGTATAGAAATCGGTTCAAATAACGCTTCGAAATTAAATTACATTTAAGTAACATTCATTCGTTTTCATTGGTACAAGTACTCATTTTTACTTTTTTAACGTTTATAATAGAAATTGACAAGAAACAAGAAAGTGGGAGTGCTTGCGAAAGTGTTTGCGAACAAGATCCGAAACATTTTCGGGACGACGGAATAGCTTTTATTTCCAATGCAGTCTCCATCATTAGTTATAGTGAAATTTTTGGTTAAATATTGTGGTGCTGACATTAGTTGCAAGGATGAGTCGGGGAAAACTGCTTTACATCATGCTGTTGTTGTCGGTGTAACAGAAATTGTCAAATATTTTGTTGAACAATGTGGCGCTGATGTGAATGGAATGGATAAAGGTGGGTGGACAACGCTAAATTATGCTGTCACTACAGGTATGCTGGAAATGGTAGAATATCTTGTTGAACATGGCGCTGATATAAATGGCAAGGATACTGACGGATGGACTGTGCTGCACTCTGCCGTTAAAAAAGGTGCTCTGGAAATTGTTAAACCACTCGTTGAACATGGCGCTGACGTAAATGGAAGGGATACTAAATACGGTATGACTGTGCTGCACTACGCTATTTATAAAAGTAGTCTTGAAATGGTAAAATATCTTGTTGAAAATGGCGCTGATATAGATTGCAAGAATTATAACGGGTGGACAGTGCTGCACTATGCAGTTACGAAAGGAGCGCCAGAAAAGATAAGATATCTTGTTGAACATGGGGCTGATGTAAATGGCAAAGATGCTAACGGGTTGACAGTGCTGCAGTGTGCTGTTACTGAAGGTACGCTAGAAATGGTAAAATATTTTGTTGAACATGGCGCTCATGTAAATGACAAGAATTATAACGGGTGGACGGTCCTGCACTATGCAGTTACGAAAAGAGCGCCAGAAATGGTAAGATATCTTGTTGAACATGGCGCTGATGTAAATGGCAAGGATAATGACGGATGGACAGTGCTTCAGTGTGCCGTTACTGAAGGTACTTTAGAAATGGTAAAATATTTTGTTGAACATGGCGCTCATGTAAATGACAAGAATTATAACGGGTGGACGGTCCTGCACTATGCAGTTACGAAAAGAACGCCAGAAATGGTAAGATATCTTGTTGAACATGGCGCTGATGTAGATGGAAAGGATGCTAATGGGCGGACGGTGCTGCAGTGTGCTGTAGATGCTGGTGCATTGGACATTGTCAAGTATTTAGTTCAACAGGGTGCTTTAACTCTTGAAAGTGAAACTCTTGGCATTAAGATTCTGAATATGGCTGTTGTGCAAAACTCGGCTGCTTTGGTCAATCTTCTGTTGGAAAAGAACATTGCTGTGTGGAGAGCTGGAACAAGTTTTGTTGCAAGAAGGCAAATTGGTCTTCTTGAATGGAGTATTCACCATGGTCATGATGAAATTGCATCGATCCTCAAAAGGTCCGTAAAACATCGTAAGAACATTCAAATGTTGGAAGCAATGAATTGTAACCAGTTAGAAGAGGTAATAGTTGAAAAATATTTTAAACATATATGAGGTTGCTTCAATGACTTTGCCAGAAACCAAACTTTTTACTATGAAGATTACGATCTACGACTCGGTAGCTCGATAACACACATTTGGGTTCCGTTGGTAATCTGTAGCATCTTTAATGTTTTTGTATAATTACGTTTCGTCCATGTTTAGTCAGGCTTGCGTTATGTAGCTACAAAGTCTTGGGAATAACCACTGAATAGTACGCGAGCACATACAAATGCGATACTTTTTAGGTGTGCAAGCCGAAGTCTCTTTTCGTATTACACAACGTCACATGTTAGAGATGACGTTTTCACTCAGCTATTATCCTTCCAATATTACTAAGCATGTTTTTCGAGTAAAAAGATTTGTTTGTGTGAATGTGCACGCCCCATTGTTACGAACACCTGACACACCAGACACGACTCTTAGTTGTAACCCAATTTCTCGTGCAATCATATTCACAATAGCATTTGATTGTTCTGTTTCAAAAAGACTTATTTCAATACTTCAAAACCATTTTACGCTTCGTTAAGTCTCGGTAACCAGGCCCATGAGAGCAAACGCTAAAAAGCGATAAAAGGTTTTGCATATAGTCATAAAATATTATGAACAATACAATAAAACAATGGGACAAAGATTAAGCCAATCAATTCCTTTTTGTTAAAACTTTTCATTAATTCTCGCGTTCTTGATGTTTCTTAGAGAAAAAATATTCACGATCGATTATGGATTTGTCTTTCTGCTAAAATATTATATTTATATTGTACCCGAGTTTTATTTAAACACTCTAATTAGATGCTTTCTGGATCTTGCTTTTTTCTTCTTACCATAGAAAATTTATGTTGTTTCTCTTATAGACAGATATACCGATGCAGGCTTTTGTCGCAAATAACCAATTCAAGATTGGCGATGGTGGTTTTTCTTGTGTCTATGTTGGTCTAATGAAAGATGGAAGTGAAGTTGCTGTTAAGAGAATTTTGGTACAAAGTGAGGCTAAAACAGCTGAAAACGAAAAGGAAATTCTGAGTCTCGTTAAAACGAGCAATTGTCCATTTATTGTGCACTATCGTTATTTTCACCGTGACGATACCTTCATGTATCTTATTGTTGATCTTTGCGAAGAAACCTTGAGGGAACTTGTTCATGCATGCAGTATTGAACATCTATTACAGCAAGGAACACGAATGATTTCGGAGATTTTGTCAGGACTTGAATTTCTTCATGGTAAAGGAATATTGCACAGAGATTTAAAACCATCAAACGTCCTGGTTGACATCGAGGGTCGCATGAAATTGGCAGATTTTGGAATAAGCCGTGTTCTAGAAGACGGCGAGACGACAGTTGAGACAGATGCAAAAGGTACTCACGGGTGGATGCCACCAGAAGTGATTGAAGCAATAGTGAAAAAAGAAAAGAGTCGTTTCAAAAGGAAATCGGATGTCCAGGTAGCGGGTATGATTGCTTTCTTCATCTTAACTAAAGGTGAACACCCTTTTGGATCTCCATTAGATCGAATGAAAAATATTTTGGAGGATAATCCTGTCAATTTGGAGAAACTTGGTGACCGCGATTCTCGCAGGTTTGTGTCGTGGCTAATAAATCACAAGATTGACGATAGACCTCGCGCTGACGAAGCATTGTGTGATTCTTTTTTATTCTAGCAAAAGAAACACTCCGAGAACTATAATTTAAATTAATTGTATGTATTTGCGTAACTAAGTACAATAATCACCTGGATTTCTTTTGGATTCAACAGGGACGTTTAATGAAGATTAGTCGTTATAAACTTTATAGTAGAGATATTATAGGAACTTCTCCTTTTTGGTACTTCTTTGTTTTAGAAATACATGCATGTAGCACCCTTCGCCATTTTCAACGAAGAAAATAATCTGCTGCGCCTAGATTAGCTGAGAATATAAGTTTATCACCGTGCGAGGGTACTAATTTAGTTCAGATATTTACACCCACGATATGCAAATGCGAAATCAAAGTTGCCCGCCATTATGCAATGGACCTCACGATATAGTTTGTTCGAGATATTGTTTTTGACACGAGAACATTCGAGCGAATCGTGTAGTGTTCTTGGGACGGTTGTATAAAACTCTTAACTGCATTTAAGTAGCTAAATCGCAGTTAACTAGAAAATACGCGATTCTGATTGGCTAATTCTGCCACTAACTATAGTTAGAAGTTAACTACCTTTTTATACAACCGGCTCCTGTTTATTATATGGACTAAATTCAGAGTGACAAAAGTAAGTAAACTGCGAAAGACCATTCGCAGAAAAGCGGATAGTTTTAAAATTATGGCCTAAACATTAAAGTAGAATAAATTTTACTGATCTATAGATGTCTTTTAAGTGTTTTCGTTTGTATATCCAACGTTAGTTTTGTTTTATATAATACGTGGACCGTACCCCGGATGTAGTGGCGTATGAGATCTACGAGTGCTTTATTTCTCAGTGAAATTAATACCCCATCCATACATAGTATTGTCTTGTGTGGTGTCATTATAAAGAGACATGGTCTGCAAACTCGCTGAAAGCTTTGTTTCATCCTTCCATGCATGCTGAAGACAAATATACCGAAAAAATCTGCACGGCAGAAACAAATATGACCTTGTACTCCAAAAACGTCTTATAAAACAACTGTTTGCTATTGGGGGAATCCCCGTTCCCGGCAGGCATCATTTCATGTAAGATTTTAATTGTTTGATAAAAATGATGAAATATTGAACGAAAATTACAAAGATTTCTTTTCAAATTATTTATTTCTTCCTCGCTCTTTAGTATGTCATGGGCCTATAGTTTATACGTGGCATTTTGGACTCGTTAATGACAATTATGAGATGATAAACCTATCAAGGCAACGTATAAAGTCAGTTTTACACCAGCGGGTATTTTGCCAAACGAATTAATTTTTTTTTTTTTGCTACATAAACCGATAACAAATTTGGAAGAGAACATTTAATAAGAACTTCACTAGCAATGTATTTAGCAATATAATTAATTTTGTCCTCTGAGCTTTAAACCAGGGATATATAAAACTTATTAAAACGACTTTTTTAAATTCAGCAGCCCGCTCGATCAAAGTAAATATGTTCCACCGCCCCTGGTCATTATTTTATTTACTATCTTTCTGTATACAGTTTTTATTTTTGTAAAACTTGTGCTGTCGCTATTATTAAATAATCCAAGTGGACAAGCGTTCAAACCATTTATATTCTATTAACTGTGGTCTGAGGTCGCTGGTGGGCAAAATGCTTTGCTTAGACTATGGGAAAGTAATACAATGGATCCCCGATTCTGGTGTGAACCAGGCCTTACACTGATCAAAAATTATGTAGCTTATGCATGTACATTCAAATTCATTTGACATTATGTAGACCCTAAAATTCTCTCGACTTCGTGGACTACCCTGCATGCGCCCCCTCTTATTGAAGGCGGCAATTTTGAAACATCTCAGTTGCCATAGCAACGAATGCCAAGCAGAAGTTCTAAATAGATTTCGGCTTTAGGTATGTTGCCAGAAGGGTATATTAGTTTTAATCTTCTAGTCAAATTGTTAGATGCTGAATATCTCTGCATGTTTAAAATATGCATTTAAAATTTGGAGAAAATGTTGGGGGGCACTTTAAGTTAAAAACGAAACGTTACCAATGAATTTTTCAAAATTCGACTGTTTTTAATGACTTTGTTAAAATTTATATGTTGAGCTCCTATATTTATTCTAAGGATATAGTAAATAAAGACTTAGTTTTCATGGCGTTTTCTAAACGGTTAAAACGAATTAATGTGTTTTACTAAAAAAGGCTGAGAACTAGTTTCGTTTATCGTTTGCAGTGCGGGGAAATTCCGTTCCTGGTAGGCTGTCTTTCACATCCCAGCATGACTTGTGTTTATTAGTTAACAACAAATATCATTGACGATGCTTGATTTTAATCGACGTTTACGTTTCTTGGAAACAAAGATTATGAAATCTTTATTTTAAGCATTTGTATCATTGTTGATGCTGCATTCTTGCTCTTTAGGATGTTGTACGATATAAGCAATAAAGGTAGGATATGATAAATATAAAATAAATAAAAATCGTTGTATTATGACATATTTGTGCGAGGCATTGTGTTTTATGTTGTAATTATTTAATTCCAATTAACACTGGGCTGATTTATTGCCACAACACACGAATTTTATATCAGCGACTGAAGCAGGTTCATTTTACCTGAGAGAATTAAACTTTACCTAGAATTAACTTCGAATAGTCAGTCTTGTGGCCTAAATTAGGCGCCAAAATTATGAGTAGGCATATTTGTATATTTTGCCTTGTGTCTGCCGCTATAAGCCGATAATTATAGAAAAATATTTGCATGCCAATCAACGAATTCGTTTGCATTTTTGCTGAAAACCACTAATAATGCTTGTAATTGTAAAAATATGAACAAAGTTAGCGAGATTATTTATAAAAGGCTTATTTGATGTGTATATCATGTATTGGTGTTCACAAACCATAAAAACAATCGCCTTCCAACGAAATCAGTCGAGCACAAGACGAATATATGATCATACACCGCTCAAATAAAGCATCTCACGACAGCCAATTGTTTTTGGGGATTGAGAGCTTTATTTTAACTTCATTTTGATTGAAAGCTAGAACATTATGTTTGGAAACGTCTAAATATTTGCCGTTAGCAATATTTTCAACACGGAAGTATGAATGATTGGAATATTTCCGTGTATGCATGGGGTGAAACCTGACCCTTTCATCTCCAGACTTGCGGAATAGCGGTTGCAAAAGTTTGATACGATTAATCTATAACTGGAACCGTTTATTCTTTTTGCCTTAAGGAGTTGAAATGCATTTTAATCGAGCGAGAGATGATATAATTATGCGGTTGTCAACTGCGTTGCATTTTATAACCATAAGTCGTAGGTCAATTTGAATATCAATATCAAGACATTATTTTTGGGTGCACCCCGTTGGGCTTGTGTACAAATTTGCATGCCATATAAACATCCCTTGTATCCTTTCTGTCTGGTTTAAGCAAATTTTTCTTAGAAACTTAGCTCTAAAATTTCGCATTTTAACTCTAAAATTATGTATAAATGGGCCTTTAGACGACCCCTTTACCAGAGAATACAAAAACTGTGGTATGAACTTTTACTTTTAAAAATATTGGTTATACAAAAATAAGATTCAAGTTTGCTTTTTAGATAGCGGTGAGCACTTGCCGTTTGGGATGAAGTCATAATTGTTTTACAGCAAATACATATAGCTGTTTTACTCACAAATAAAGAATCTGAAGTAGCTGATAATGTTATCTTTCCCCATGCAGCCAGCAGACGGCGACATGATCACAAGCTTTACATAAACATGGATAATATCACCTGGATTAAAAATAATCATTCCAGGCCTGTTATTATTAAAAAAGGAAGAGCGAAGGAGAAATCTCAAGTAAAAAACATTCAAAACGAAGAATGTGATAATGGTAAGTGTAGGTATGCACTTGTATATTAATTTTAAAAAAAGATAAGGCCTAGGATAGCAGAAACGAATACATGCACACCGTCGTCAAAGGTGATGCAAAGACTTTCTAGAATTTTCTATTCAACCCAGCACCGTGGAATTAACATTTGAATATATTAAAGCAAAAAAGTGATATTCGTGACACATTCGTCAATTATATTCATTTAAAAAAAGATGCACATTTCTTGACATTTACCAGAGAATACAAAAACTGTGGTATGAACTTTTACTTTTAAAATTTTTAGTTGTACAAAAATTTTGAAAACAACTGAAAACACACACACTAGGGCTAACACTGGCTCAGCGCTGATCGGTTGAACTAAATGTTTCGTGCAAACACTGAAGTCTTAATTGAAATAGACCTTTTGCAAACAATACCGTGATCACAAAACTAGAAGATTTTCTCATTGCCAATTTTAACACCATTGAAAATACGTGTTTAACTCTCTGCCTTATGTTAAAAAGGGTGACCCCCAAAAAGTCTTCCTTTAAACAATGTTTTTGTTAAACGCCTGTAATGCAAAACTTAAATTCATAGCATCTACAACCAACTTTTCTTAAGAGTGTCTGATTGTAAATTTGACAATTTGTGGCTCCGTCGGTGTGCTTAAAAACTGGAATGAATTATACCCTTGGCAATTTAAACGAAGAAAACGATTCCTGCATGGTGTTCCGATTGATGTAAAATGTAAAACCGTCGTCTATACTGTCGATACAGCGAGTATACTGATGTATGTTTATTTATATATATTGTAATTTTATGATAATTAACTTGTTAAAGGATAAAAAGGGTCGCGGGGGAACATTAGATAGATAGAATTCAAGATGGCGAGCTTAAAAACGTAAATCGCAAGTAGCTAGACTTTTTTGGAAGTATAAGAAGAAAGAAATACAACATAAAATACATTTGGCGACGAGGATTCTTTTCTCATAAGAAGATATTATTTGCCTATGAAAATTGTTCGAACAACTAAGGTCAAAGAACAAAAATAATCGTATATAAAGTTTGTTCATACTTGCTTGCTTCATAATGGCCACTGATAATGGACGTTCAGCAACGCTTTATTTTGACCCTGATAGTCATCCGGATGATACTTTAAAAGCTTTCAATGAGTTTATTTAATCATATGAGTTACGATATGAGGCTCAGTATCCTGACCCACCAAAAGTCTCCCTCGATTCAGCTATTGAACCCTGGAAATTTACAAATCCAGATACGAAATTCGATCTCGAACAATACGATGTGATAAGAGAGGAATGGCGATCGAAAGATAAAGTCGCAAAATTACTTGGTATGTTTTCCTCAAAAAGAATGTATGAAGATTGGAAAGTCGCAGAACCAAATGAACAAAACCGAAAGAAAACAACATGGAAAGAGTTCGTTGATAAAATTCAGAAGTATTACAAACCAACGGAAAATCTTACGTTGAAAAATCATCAATTTCGTACACTGACACAAGCGACAAATGAAACGTTCCCAGCTTTCTGCAATCGTGTATGCAAGGAAGCAAAACATTGTAACTTTAAATGTGAGCACGAGGACTGTACGGCAGAAAGTACAGCTATCAGAGACCAAATCATTATTGGAACAATTAACGACAAAATAAGAGAAGAAGCACTTAAGAATGCATGGGGCCTAGAAGAGCTGCGCAGAGAAGGCATGCATATTGAAAGTGCGGCGAAAGGTGTTGAAGAGCTTAGTGGTGAGAATATGGTGAACAAGATGGGCAAGTACTCCTATAAGAATATGAACAAAGGAAAACCACGAGCATGTTATTACTGTGGTCAAGAAATAAAAGGGTCTGTAATTGAGCAGAATTGTAGGGCTAAGACAAGCAAATGTAATTTCTGTAATGCTGTTGGGCATTACGAATTAGTATGTAGAAAAAAGAAAACAGTAAATGAAGTGAAATCTGACGAACCAGAAAAAGTTCAGCAAGATGAAGTGTATAATATCAACCTTTTTAGAATTACAGAAAAAAGCCAACAAGCTAAGGATGACTCTAAAGTCCAATTGGTTATTAATAACAGTCTTGCTACTGTTCTGGCAGACACTGGAGCAAACATTAGTGTATGTGGAATTAAAAGGCAGAACGATGGAATCTTGTACAGAGGATGGTCAACACAAACACAAAAATCAAACCATATAACAGTGCAACGATACCTGTTGTAGGAATTTCTAAATGTGCTGTAAGCTTTGGTAACTCCTCTGTTCCTGTGGATTGGCATATCATTAATAGTTCATGTGAACCGGTGCTCGCAGGACAACAGCAAGGCATTTAGGAATAATTAAGTTCGAGAAGAAGCCCGACGTTTTTCAACCAGTACGAATGATACAATCAGATGAGAAGGAAGCTCTTCAAGACATCTTGAAAAACTATCCAGAGAATTTCGTTGGCTTGGGGAGGTTACGAAACCATCAAGTTAAGTTACATGTAGACCCGACAATTAAGCCGGTTGCAGCACCAGCAAGATCGGTACCGTATCATCTCAAAGAACGAGTGGAGAAAGTAATTGAAGAAATGGTAAAGCAAGATGTAATTGAAGAACATCCATCTGTAGAGCCAGCACCATGGGTTTCTAACACAGTGATTGCGCCGAAATCTGACGGATCAATACGTATGACCCTTGATGCTCGTAATGTCAATAAAGCTATTCAAGCCTCTAATTTACCCATACCGAGACAAGAGGACATCAAAGCTAAGCTTAGTGGTGCCACAATATTTTCGAAAATGGATTTTAAGTCGGCATTCTGGCAAATCGAGCTTGATCCGGACTCGAGATATCTAACAGTTTTCCATGCGAATGACAAGTTATACAGATATAAACGTCTTACAATGGGCGTGAAGTCAGCCCAAGGAGAGCTTAATGTCGCCCTTCAACCTTTGTTTGCCAATATTCCGCAAGCACATCTCATACACGATGATCTGATAGTGGCAACGAGGGATCATGCGGAGCATAACAAGATAATTGAAGAAGTAATGAAAGTCATATCTACTGCTGGTATAACACTCAATCCAAATAAGTGTACTTTTGGAGCATCAGAAATTGAATTCTGGGGATTACGTATCGGTTCAACGGGAATACGACCAAGTCCGGCGAAGGTAGAAGCACTTAACTACATATCACCACCCAAATCCAAAGAAGATCTAGTAAGTTTTCTATGTATGATGCAATCAAACGCAGATTTCATCCCAAACTTTGCACAACAAGCAGCAAAATTGAGGGAGCTGTCGAAGAAAAACGCGCGATTTATATGGACCGAAGAATATCAAGTTGCTTACGAGGTTCTGTTGGAAGGATTTAAGAAAAGCACGTTGCTTCAATATTTCGATATGAGTAAACAAACTTTCATATTTACCGATGCCCACAAGACGGGAGTTGGAGCAATGTTAGCACAGGGAGACAGCGTTGAGAATGCAAGACTCGTGACAATAGCATCAAGAACAACAAATTCCTCAGAGAAAAGATATCCGCAAATAGATTTGGAAGCTCTCGGCATTGACTTTGCCTTGAGGAGATTCCGCAACTACATTGTTGGTTCTCCAACCAAAGTACAAGTGATAACCGACCATCAGCCATTATGCGCGATCTTCAATGGCAAACGACAAGGATCAATCAGAACGGAGAGGATCAAGTTACGACACCAGGATATTCGGTTTACTGTCACATACCAGAAAGGGAAAATTAACCAATCCGACTATTTATCACGACACGCCAAACCGCTGGAGAAGCTACCAAAAGGGGAACAAAAGGAAACAGAAGATTTGAACAATCTGTTATACATGCTGCACACTACTCCAGTCATCGATTGCATAACTATCGCTGCTATTGCACAGGCTACCAAAGACGACCCAACCCTTGTGAAAGTAGGGGAGCTCATTAATCAAAATTTGACTTGGATCCCAAAGACAGAATCAATTGAAGTGCAGCGTTTTAAGAGCATCTTACCGCAGCTGACGATCACAGGAAATGGCATAATATTTAAAGATGAAAGAATTGTTTTGCCAAAGAAACTCCAAGATCTAGCAATCCAAATCGCGCATAGAGGAAATCATCCCGGCCAAAGTGGATTGGAAATACGACTTAGATACCACTTCTTCTTCCACGATATGAATAAGAAGGTGGAACAATTTGTTAATTCATGCGATGGCTGCGCTTTGTTTATTGATAAGAAGACCAAAGAGCCGATCAAATCACATCGAGTCCCAGAAAAATGTTGGGACACGGTCGCAGTCGATCTATTTGGGCCGATGCCGTCATCGAAACATGTCGTCGTTGTACAAGACCTAGCAACGAGATTCCCTGCAGCGAAATTAGTCACATCGACGAAAGCAGACAAAGTTCTACCCGCATTAAATGAAATTTATGAAACGTATGGATATCCAGAGGTTCAAATATCGGATAACGGTCCCCCGTTTAATAGTTCTCGGATGCAGAAGTTCGCAGCAGATAAATCCATTGAGCTGCAGAACACACCTCCTCTTCATCCCTCTTCGAAACCCTGTTGAAACGTTTATGAGACCTTTGGGCAAGGCGATGAAGATCGGGTATCAGAATGGAGTCCCAGAAAAAGAAACACTAAGAAGAGCATTGAATAATTATAGACAAACACCCCATCCAGCAACTGGTCTTCCTCCGGCGGCCATGCTCTTCAGAGACGGGCAACGTTCAGATTTTCCAAGAAGATATGTGACAGAGGAAGATGTTAGGAAAGCACGAGAAGAAGATAGGAATAGAAAATCTGATCTTGAAGAAGATGTCAACAGCTCCAAATATAGGAAGAAATCCAACTTTAATATTGGCGAAAAAGTTCTGGTTAGAAATTACAACAAAGCGGCAAAGTTTGATCCTGTTTTCCTCAAACAACCATATACGATCGTTGACATAAATGAAGCAGGAAACAAGATTATCGTAGAGCAAGAGGAAAGCGGGTTAACGCTGTGCCGTCACCCAGACGATATTAAGCCGTTTAAATTATGTAAGCAGAATGATCAGGAAGCGCCAAAAGAAATTATGTGGCCAGAGATGGATGAGGAAGTTGATGGAAATAGCTATTTCGAAAAGAACGAACTTGTACCTCCATTAAGACGTAGTCAACGAATAAGAAAACCAAACCCAAAATACAAATAGAGAAAATATTAATATTATTAAATGGACTTTTAAATATTTTAAAAATCTAGCAAAAAATAGGGGATGATGTATGTTTATTTATATATATTGTAATTTTATGATAATTAACTTGTTAAAGGATAAAAAGGGTCGCGGGGGAACATTAGATAGATAGAATTCAAGATGGCGAGCTTAAAAACGTAAATCGCAAGTAGCTAGACTTTTTTGGAAGTATAAGAAGAAAGAAATACAACATAAAATACATTTTATACGTGTTCGACACGTAAATTTATAGACAAATATTACGAAAAGCAACTCTCAAAAGTATTAGACACATTCTGAAAAACAAAGTTTAATATTTTGTAGCATGCCCTTGCTCGCAATAACGGCCGCCAAACGTTTGGGGTATGTTGAAATAAGCTTGTTGAAAAATGTCTTTAGTTCTTTCATATTCGGAGGATTTCTTGCATTAACTAGCATTTCAACTAGTATGTGCCCAATTGGATTAAGGTCAGGTGATTGACTCGGCCACTCTAAAATTCTCACTCTTTTTTCTTGAAACCACTCCTTTGTTTTCACTGCTGTGTGTTTTGGATATAGTTTTCTTGTTGAAAGATCCAACCTCTTGGCAACTTAAGCCTATAATGCTCCCCCTGCGGCCCGTGCTTGATAACTTTCGTGTTTCGTGTTTCGTGTTTGGTGTTTCGCTGATCATATGCCGTTCTTTCTCGAAACCATGTCGTACACTGTTCCCCCCATGTAACGCAATTTTTGTCTTAACCGACAACAGGATTTTTTCCTCAAATCTAATACAGCTGAATACAGGGCACGCCTAATCTTCGTTTAACGCCATGAGTGTCTAATGCTTTTGAAATTTGCCTTCTTGTGATATCGTCAATAAATTGACGTGTGGAACACCTACTCCGTGTTTCTCTTTATAGAGGACAGTTTTTGAATACTTATTATATCTAATTTATATATAACGTCGATGGAGACACCGGAAATCATTTTCTTCATTAAAATTGCGCAATGTCACCTATGTGACCAATACTTTTGTACATTACTATAGTTGCACGCCATTTGGATGCATAAAGAAAATGATTGTCCTAAGGCTAAAAAGAGTAAAATTCCGGTCACCCGAGTTTTAACGAAGCATGAGATGATTTTAAGGTATCTAAAGTCTTTATGAAACGAAACAAGCACATGCTATGTCAAGAATAAGACGAATGTATAAATATGCGCCCCTCCCCGGCAATTAAGGTCTAGCTACAGCTCTGACTAGGCTATACTCACGAGGCTTGTTGCCCACCTAAAGAAAAGATTTTTATAACGGCTCAAGAGACCCCTCAAAATCAAATTGTCTCATTTTCATATTCTTAACGTTTATTATAGCAACTCATGAGGAGCAAGAAGCAAGTGGAAGTGGATGTGTCTGCGAATACGGTCCGAATCATTTTCAAAACCATCGCATAGCTTCTCGATCATTAGAAATTGTAAAGTATTTCGTTGAAAATTGTGGTGCCGATATACATTGTAAAGATGAGTTGGGCAAAACTGCTTTACATCATGCTGTTCATATTGGTGCAATAAACATTGTCAAATATTTAGTTGAACAACATGACGCTGATTTAAATATCAAGAATGAAAGGGGGTGGACAGTGTTGCATATTGCTGTTACTGAAGGTACGCTAGAAATGGTAAAATACCTTGTTGAGAAAGGCGCTGATGTAAATGGCAAGGATACTGACGGGTGTACTGCGCTGCGCAGTGCTGTAACTGAAGGTAAGCAAGAAATGGTAAATTATCTTGTTGAGAATCACGCCGATATAAATAACAAGGATACTAACGGATGGACAGTCCTGCACTATGCTGTTAGTGAAGGTACGCTAGGAATGGTGAAATATCTTGTTGATCATAGCGCTGATGTTAATGGAAAGAGTGCCCAAGGGTGGACAGTTATGCACTATGCGGTTACAGAAGGTACACTGGAAATGGTAAAGTATCTTGTTAAACATCACGCTGATATAAATGGTAAAAATAATAATGGATGTACAGTGCTTAACAGCGCTGTTAACGAAGGTAAGGTTGAAATGGTGAAATATCTCGTTGAACTGGACTCTAATGAAGAGAGCAAGAGGATTGACGTAACTACCTCCCTCGAAGCTGCAGTTAGAGGTGGATTACTCGACATTGTCAAATATCTAGTTGAGAAGGGTGCTGATGTAAATGGAAAGGTTGCTGGTGGATTTTCTGTCTTGCATGCTGCTTTCAATGCTGATGAATTAAAAGTTGTCAAATATTTAGTTGAACAGGGTGCTGACATAACTCTGAAAACTGAAATCGACTTTCATACTCTTGGCATTAAGATCCTACGGAGGGCTGTGGAAAAAAATTCAGTTGATTTGGTCAATATTTTGTTGGAAAAGAACATCGATGTGTGGAGAGCTGGAACACTTGAGCTGCATGAAAGACAAATGAGTCTTCTTGAGTGGAGTAATCACTTTCGTTACGCTGAGATTGCAACTATCCTCGAAAAGTCTGCAAAACATCGTGTAAAAATTCAGATGTTGAAAACAAAGAATTGTAACCAGTTAGACAAGGTAAATGAAGAGAAAGGGTACATGCAATCCGTAATGTAAAATTTTCGAATCGCCATATTTCTTACAGTATCAGCAAAATAATTGCAATTGATGAACCAGGCGGGAATTCTAATCGTAATATAAATGTAATAGAGGCTATAATATTTGTATCAGCAAAAGTTTGAATATTTATATTTAACACTATATTAGTTCGCTATAATACTAAATGAATATGAGCTGCAGTTTACGTTCATAGCAAACATGCTAAACTTCAAAAATTTTAAATTAAGCAGCCTACTCATTGTTATGAGCGAACCGATGCGCAGAAACCACTGTTACCCCTTTGTAAAATATTTCGAACATATATGAGGCGATTTTCATGAGTTTGCGCATGGCCGCGCTAGAAGCTTAATTGGGGGATGTATATTTGTATATTCGTCTATACGTCGTATACACAATTGTTCCTATGATACATAAACATGAATATATAAAAACATACACATCCCGCCCCAATTTAGCCCATTGATCATCAAACAAACCGTGGCTTATTCAAATTATGTCTCCCTGCCAAAATATAACGCAAAAGCTGTTTTAAAATGAGATTTATAATAGCAGAAAATATTTTACTTTTTGCCTCCATTTTTACACGCCTCGATATTTTTCTTCTTCTGATCATGGATAATTTTTTGGCGTTTTTGCAATAGATTGAAATACCGATGCAAGCGTTTGACGCAAAAAAAGAATTCAAAATTGGCGATGGTGGTTATTCTAATGTCTATGTTGGTCTCATGAAAGATGGAAGTGAAGTTGCTGTAAAGAGAATTTGGGTGCAAAGTGAGGACAAAACAGTTGAAAATGAAGAGGAAATCATGAGACTTATTAATACTGACAACTCTCCGTTTATAGTGAAATATCGACATTTTCACCGTGACGTTACCTTCATGTATCTTATTGTTGATCTTTGCGAAGAAACCTTGAGGGAACTTGTTGACGCATGCAGTATTGCACATCTACAAGAACATGGGCCACGAATGATTAGGGAAATTCTATCAGGACTTGAATTTCTTCATGGTAAAGGAATATTGCACAGAGATTTAAAACCATCAAACGTCCTGGTTGATATCGAAGGACGCATGAAATTAGCGGACTTTGGAATAAGCCGCGTTTTAAATGACGATGAAACGACAGTTCGAACCTTTGTTAAAGGTACTCTCGGATGGATGCCACCGGAAGTAATCAAGGCAATAGACAAAAACGAAAAGGGTCCTTTCAAAAGGAAATCAGATGTCCATGTCGCAGGTATGATTGCTTTCTTCATCTTAACTAAAGGTGAACACCCTTTTGGTTCCAAGTTAGATCGGATGAGAAATATCTTAGACGGAAAAACTGTCAATTTCGATAAACTTGGTCCTGGTAGAGCTGGAAGCTTTGTGTCGTGGCTGATTAATCACGAAATTGATGATAGACCTTATGCACACGAAGCACTAGAATGTTCTTTTTTAAATCAAAACAGACCAAATGAGGATCAGCGGTCAGTAAGGGCTTCTTGCGTAGAGAGAGTTTTTGCATTCTGAACCTTTGCGCAAACAAAAAGAATTTTGTGGACTTAGGCATCTCATACATATTCCTTAATATGCACTTAGGCATCTCATATTCCGTAATAATTAAGTAATAAACGTTTTGGTGAAAAAATAATGAATTTCGGAATGAATTTAACGGAATTTCAATGCCAGATTTGATATAACAGGGCTAATAACGAGAATCTAGTACAACTTTTTGAACTTTTTGTCGCTTCGGCAACTTCTTTGTCACTGATAAACAACAATTGAGTCATCGACATCTTTGATAAAGAAATATTAACGTGTATTGCCAAACATACAGTGCAAGAAAAATTTAATTCGGCTGGTGTGAATAAACGAGGAAACAAAGAAATCAGCTATCTTCGAAGATTGCTTGAATTTGTTCCCTTTCTTTGGTTGTTTCCTTCATAGCCCAAGTTATACATTATCAATCTAAAGGATGAACCAGGTTATTTTTCACAACTTTAATTGATTCTAGGCTTAAGCTTAGTCTGCTCCCATAAACTAGCTGCATAGCAAAGAAATATACACGTAATGTCTCTTGGATACTAAAGGTGCTAATAATTTTTAGGGCTTCCAATTTGTAAAGAGTGTTCGTATAACGCTAAGAAAACGTTAGCAGATATCGATCGTAAGAAATGTTCGCACTTGTCTAATTTAGATACCTCAGCAGTAGAATTACATTGCAAGTTGCATGCAAGGAAAGCTGCAAAGTGAAACACTACCTTCACTTGTTTTATGACGTTTTAATATTGTAATCTGTATTAAATTTACGTAATATAATAAAAAATTAGGAGCCTTTATATAAAATGACTTCATAACTATAAGCCTTCTGAATTCTGATGGAATATGCATCCAAAGAAGAATTTGCAGTTGCAAATGTCACACACATGCAACTGCAACAAAACCAGTTGCCACGTTGGAGCAACGCTGGTTTAAAAGCCACGCGCGTTTTTTAGATTTTGTCCTTTTATAGGAAAGCAACTTAAACCGATTTTACAGGACGAATTATATTTTTTTTCCTTTTCTCCTTTTCCTATTCTACTAAGAAAGTTCTCCTGAGTAAAATAAATCAGAGTTGTATGAATTTTATGTCACCATAGTCACGAAATACGAACCCATCATACAAACCCATGCAAACATGGGAAATTGACGATTTTACACCACCAAAAGCACAATTTGGGGGTGTTAAAATAGCACATTCAAAATAACAGTGTATTAATTAAAGGACATCAATTAACGTTAGTTGGATAGTGTATTGGTAGTGCATACAAATTTTCAACACCAATTTTATTATTAACCCTGATATGTACTAATCTTGCTTAATCGCATGATTAATTTGCATTGTAATCAGAATTGCAAGGGCGTATTTTATTATTCCCGTCTAAATGGCATGCATGTTATGATAAACAAAGTTCTTGTATGTTGATTTAAGAAGCCAGAACTTAATTGCGACTTTAAAGCATCGAAGCACTTGGAACATCGGAAGAACATCGGAAGAACTTGTAGTTTCTCCTTAGATTATATCTATATCGGATATTCTTGTAGCTATATGTTTACATGGTGACAGTCGATGAGTAATTTAGCTTGTAGGTACACCACGTAAGTAGGTCGTGGACCGGTGGTTGCAGTATTAAATACTTACATGGTGTTACCTATGTACAAGCTAAGTTGTAGATACACCATTGCTTATATCTATATGCTTGTAAACATTTTGTGTTAAACATTTATCATTACTCCACGCACGGGCACGACCCTAACTTGTATAAAGATCATAGCTAGTTTGTGTTTAGCAATGATCGTACGAACATGTTTAAATCTTGCTTATGAAAGCTATAATGTTAATATAAAATGTTCATTGACGTACAGTACCAAGTTAGTGTTCTGTGTTTGACTTATTCACTCGTGTGCGACGTGTCGATCACATGTTTAAACGGTGAAATGCCAAAGTCCACAAGTATTTAGTATATATTCTTACCTCAAACTTGGCACGGAAGCTCTTCATAACTCAAATAAGGCTACGGTGTGAAGTTGCTGTACCATACGATTCAAATCAAATTAAAATAGTCGGAAAAATGATCCAAAATTTGATAAGTGAGCCACAACCATTACGGGACAGTTATAACGTGAATGCCATCGTGTTTAGTTGTATATGGTTTGCAGGCAAGTCCTGGGTACCAGGTTAGCCTATGGCTTTCGACCTTGACTTGAAAAATATGTTAATTAAATGATTGCTATTGGTTTATATGTGCAAAATACAATAAACATGTGACGAGAAAAGAACAATTTTTGCATAAATCTACCTCAACATATTTAATGAGTTGTATTGTGGTTTTATGTTGTCTCCACACCATGTATATTCTATTAACTGTGATTTGTATAACAACACAGAAGACGTTTGATCCCTAGAATTTGAGGGTTGTAATCGTATTTTAGCGGCAAAATTGTCTAAATAAAGTTGGGTGCGCAAATAAAGAAGAACTGACTAAAATCTTTGTTTCACAGTACGCTCAATGATTCGAAGCAATTTCACTTGTCTGACTTAAGCAGCGTTTACACTTCAGGTCCGGACCTGGCCTCATGGACAATGTTCACACTGTCTTCCTTGTTGCTGATATCGGATAGTCAAAATACTTGGAAAAATGCTCCGAAAAGTGGTAATACTATATGTATCCTATACAAATCATACTATTAAGTTAAAAACTTGTCAGGATTAGGTAAAACCTGTTCACATTACCAAAATCTTGCCCCAGGTTAGGTCCAGGCCACCTTCTGCTGTTGGCCAGGATTTTGCGGCCTAGACCAGATCAGGCCTGGTCTAGGCTGGATGAACAACGTTCACATCTAGGCCTAGGCCTGGTCCAAGCCAGGTCAAAGCACGTAGTATAAACGTGGCTTAAATCAACGCTATATAGAAATTTTTGGAGATCCTGTGTGGCTCCCTTAAATTTTAAAAATATAAAAAACTCGTAATTGGCAGAAGATTACTTGCTAATATAAAAGAACCTTTCAGTCATGCATTTTACTCGAAAAAAAGTTCGGTTACCCTCATTTTTTATTTTACAAAACGTTTTCTTACAAAATAGAAATTTTAAACATGTTCAATAATATTATTCTGTCTGCTCAAAAAATATAATAAAATTGTAACTGCATTTCCCGTACTACGCAGATGTAAATAACTATATCGTGTTAGAATGAAGAGTTTTTGAAACACTCTAAGATAACCTGCATTAATCTGTCTGTACTGAAATACAACAGGACTGGTTTTTACCGCATGCAGGAAAGCGCCCTTATTTTTAAATTTTGCGTTATCTTACATTCCATGACTTTTCTTACGTTTAGATTTGACGACTCTTCATTAATTTACATCTCTTAAAAGTAGAAGTACATTCCAAGTTGCAAGACAAATTGCACTATGTAACAGCGCCTCCCAGGAACCACACGACATTTACCGTCGCTGACCCGCAGGCTACATGCCGTGAATATTTATCTCTCGTAGCATTTGACAATAAGCGCAGTAAATACAACAAAATACAGTCCAGAAGTCATCACTTTTGTCCCCCTATGAAGCAAGAAAATAGAAAATTAATGAATAATTTCGCGAATTCTATAACCACTATAGCTTACAGGCCCGTTTACACATGCAATTATTGGTGCGATTTTCTTCTTTTAGTAGATGTGAACGAGTGATTAGTTACGAATGCGCTAATGTAAAAGAGCTCTTATTTGAACATGTTAATGAACATGTGTAATGAATTCACTCGTTCACATCAATCAAAAGTCGCATAAAAAATTAAGGTGTATCAGAAAATTTGTTTACATTTTCAGTATCCCATGTACTCTGAATACTTTTTTATTATCTTTCTATACCCAGTATATTAACATCATCATCATGATATTTCGTTTAACGCTCTCCAAAATAATTATGCTTTTTTTCGACGAAAAGCACTCTTTCCTCAAGTTCTGAGACCTCGCTCCCTTACTGTTAAGCTCATACCTTAATGTTGTGCCTTTTCCTGATCATTCTACGCAGTTTATCAGCAAAACAAAACGTGTAGCAGCAACTGACACCAGCAGCATCAGCGATCTGATACTCAATGACCGGAACACAACAGCAAAAAAGCAGACACGAACAGGTACTGGCGATGCCTAAAACCACAATCAAATGTAAATAAATAGTTTAAATTTCTTTGCTATGAAATGGGCTGAACCATCACGAAACCTAACCATATTCGTATTCTTGCTTTTAAGGGACGGTTTGGATTCTTAGGGTCAACTTAAATCGAGAAAATAAATCTAGGTCAATTATGTCACGTGATTAAGTATACACGACATAATTTGGCTTTCTCAAAAATGTAAAAAATATATAAAAAAGAACAAAATAGGGATTTTAAAGCCATATTCCCTCTAATTTACTTTGCAAAAATTTACTTTGTTCAACATGTAGTCAACATATATATTTATATATATACAGGGTGTATAAAAAAAAAGTAGACAATTTTGAAATGTTTAGAAAACTACAAATTTATCAAAATATCTCATAGATTTGTGCTAGTATGGGTACTTTGGCATCTTCTGGTCATTCTAACACTAAAAACAAACAGAAAAATTAACCTCGAAAAATGGAAGAGCGGTTTGTGGAAGCATCATTTTGAATTGCTTGTGCAAACATGAATGAGAGGTTTAAAGAATTCAAGGGCTGAACATTTGGGTATTTGTTTACAAAGAATCGAAATTTCAGAAATTTTGATGAAAATTAAGTCAGCCGCACAACTGCGTAAAAGTGGGCTTTTTTCCGTTTAACTCGCAGCTTGAGTAACCTTTTTCACAACATACCATTGTTAGTTTAATCACCCGAGCAATCACTCATGCATGAAATCATTCGTGCATGAAAAAAGTTACTCAAGCTGCGAGTTAAACGGAAAAAAGCCCACGTTTACGCAGTTGCGCGGCTGACTTAATTTTCATCAAAATTTCTGAAATTTCGATTCTTTGTAAACAAATACCCAAACGTTCAGCCCTTGAATTCAAATTGAATTTTAAACCTCTGATTCATGTTTGCACAAGCAATTCAAAATGATGCTTCCACAAACCGCTCTTCCATTTTTCGAGGTTAATTTTTCTGTTTGTTTTTAGTGTTAGAATGACCTGAAGATGGTAAAGTACCCATACTAGCATAAATCTATGAGATATTTTGATAAATTTATAGTTTTCTTAACATTTCAAAATTGTCTACTTTTTTTTGATACACCCTGTATATATATATATATATATATATATATATATATATTATATATTATATATATATTATATATATATAATATATTATATATATATATAGGCTGTCACTCGGTGTCATATCATATTATTATATTGTATGTTGGTCAATTCGTCTGACCAACTTCGCGAATACCCCTTCCCTAGTTCCCTTAAAAAGGCACACCGCCGTCGCCCTAAAGCTAATAGGGAGCTTTAGATTTAACTACGACTCCCGCTACCGCTACTAGATTCGCCATATTGACGTGATCCCCGAGCCGGTGCGAAGCACCGGGCGAGGGTACTAATTCCGCCCGGAGATTTTAATTACGCCCGGGAATGCAAATGCGAAATGAAAGTTGTCCGCCATTATGTCATGGACGTTAGGCGTTTTTGTAAGTTATGCGCATGCGTGAGTTTAAGACGAGTTAAAACTGGTAACTAGCAAACGTTTACAAACGTGCGATTGGCTAAATTAAAATTTGGATCACGTCAGCAAAACTGATATTTTGAATTATAAAACTTTTTTTAAATAATATTTTTCATTTGGATGGTCTTAAAAATATACGAAAAATTGACTCGTAAAATTGATTAAAATATAATGTAAAAGATGCCTTCGGATAAAAAAACTTTCATTCAAATGGAGGGTAAAAAAATCTACGATTTTGAAGCATTTTTGAATTTTGGAGTGCTGTTGAACAGGTAAATGCATTGGGTAGATTTTGTATTTTAAAGCATGCAAGTATTTTGTAAGTTTAGTATGTGGATTTATCAACAAATGTATGACACCTCTTTGAATTTATTCGTCAATTTCGTTGAAATGATTTTGATTTGGAAAGTATTTATTTTTAAAGGTGAATCTGTTTAAAAAGTAATTGAAATTTCGCTAAAAATTGTAGTATTTAAAACTATTCCTAGCACAATTTATTAAAATTATGTTATAATTTGATCGAGAGTCGACTTTGTAATTGTACCAAGATATAGGATTTTATTTACGACTTCGATCATTCAGCAGGAACGAGCATTATAGCATTTCAGTGATGGAAATATTATATCAAATATATATGTTTATTGCTTCAGGCGAAGGGGACTTTGCATGCAATGTATTTCTAGTATTCGTGATACTTCCTACTGACTGAGATTCGTCGCTGATCTGACTACAGCATTTTAAGAAAACTTCGTCGTCCTGACTGCGTTATTTAAAAAGCAATAAAAGTTGACATTTTCTCATTTTTTGCAGAAAATAATTTGAGAGAATTGTTTTTCATGACCGTGGCCTTTGATTATGTGCATTTTTGGAAATAGTAGGCGTAAAATTTCCGACTTATTGTGTTTGCAGAGGTTTATGATGACAACACGAGGTGGCTTATGCATACAACCGTTTGTTTCGCGCAACAGTGACGAATCTCGTAGTTGTAGCGGGAGCCGTAGTCAAATCTAAAGCTATAACCTATTTCTGACTGCCAAAAATTTATAAACTGCAAGCTTATGACTTACACACGCCAGTGTCATCACAGCAAGCACATAATTTAGTGCTCCATTCTCTTGGAATTTGAGCAGGTTGCTTAGTCACGACTGTATCATTCGTGCCTTGCTTTTGTAGCGGTGTCCCAGCTCCCTGATGGATATAAGCAAGCCTGGACTCATTGGGCTGGTGGAGGGGAATCGTGGCCTGTTCGAAGTCGACAGTCATAAACCGTTTTGGGAAGGCAGCCTTTACTGTTGGCTGGTGTTGTATTACAAACGTATCCTTGGGTTTTTGTTGGAGGGTAGCAGCTGGTGCACCCGTAAATCGACGAAGGTTGGGCACCACTGCCTGTTCTGTATATGGTGGTGGGGCGATGGTATTGGGGTAGTTGTTCGGCGTGTCCGCATTCGGCTTCATATTGAACACCCCTGGATCTAATCCGGGGTGATACATTTTAAATATCTAAATATATTGAAAATAAGTAGCTATTAAGTATTAATGCAATTGCTTTTTATCGTATCAGTATCTTAATGTTTGACTTCACCTGTAGACTACAAAGACTAACCCAATTCAAATGTTACTATACTCGAAACCTCACGCTAATACTATATCGTCTATCCAATTTTGCAGATTTACTACACCTCCGTAATTTACAAGATACGATTTAAGTAAATTAGCTTCTAGGTACATCCCGTACGTATTCAATACTGCAAAACCTTCGGTCCGTTAACACGGGCCTTCATCAGTGCAATATTATTAGTGCAAGATACGATTTTGTACGGTTGCTTTTACTGGGGGTTTTAGTGGCCTAGAGAAAAGAGAAATGCCCAGACTTAACAGAATAAACACCATTCGATAGAGCTTCCAATCGAACATTGTTACTTTGCGCACTTCTCTTTTTTTCCTTTCAGACGGTACGTCATACCCCCGTTGTGTTGGATATAAATTTATGATAATAATAATTATTATGTAATCAATAACATTGATCTAAACTATCTGAATGCGAAAGAACGGCTTTTGAAAAGAAACAAACATTAATTGCGGAGGAGGAATATAGAACTTTAGAATTAGGAGACAAAGGAAGGCAACATTGCGTGCAATCGTTTGAAAATATTTCCATATAAACAAACTCGTTTAATATATATCAAATCAATTTCTACCGCATGCATCTCTATACTGATTCTCTGTTTACTAACTTAGTGATGTAGCCGAGAGTTAGTGTGACCTGCTTGCGACAATTCATGTAAACTAAGCCGTTAAAGTGGATCGTTCTTTGCATGCGTAGCATTTCAATCAACAAACTGCCCTCATGCAATGGGCACGAGACTGTAGAATCACATAACATAAAAAAAAACTAAATAAAGTAAGACTGTTAGCACACGAAGTGCTTTGTCTTTTTAGGAAATTATTGGCAAAGCCACCATTTCCCAATGTTATAACGACCTTTAGTAATCGCCATGGCCAGCTTTTGTTCATGGAAGGTTCCTTGTCGAGGAAAGCTTATCAATTATAATTATATTAAGTGATAATGCTATGACTCAGATGTATGAATTAATATTGTGATGATGTGACTCTGAACTACCAAAGGGGCAAGCTGAAAAATTAGCTTGACCATTGATTTTCGAACCCTTGATTTCAATTTGAAACAAATTATCAATTGCTCAACATGTTGAATAATCATGATTGTAAATGAAGTCATGCATGCACTTGTATATTGTCACTGAATTTAGATACATACGTCGCAAGTGTAAAGTGCAGAAGGTTGAAGTTGCTTTGTAAGCGAATTTCCCTTCGACGTATGTTAATCATCACATTGTCTGATTAGTTAAGCTTATACTTAACTAAGTTTGCTGCATGCGGACGAAATAAAAATTATAGTCTTGGAACTCGTTTATAATTGTTCTCAAGTCTATTTAACCTAACATGCCAGCCGCTCATTTTCTATCAATCTCGTTTAAAAATGCAAAGCCTGCAAAATTAAGACGTTAAAATTCTCTCACCTGGCTGGTATATCGCGTATTCGTGGTAAAAAACAGTTGCAGTCTCTGGATCTTTGAAGGCGCTTCGTATAAATTTTATTATGGCGGTATTCCGCCTTCTTTTCTGCGCGTTCAAGTGTTTTAAATGATCCTTAATTCTTTAAAATGCAAGTTCTATTGAAATCAAGAATTGAAGCGTAAAATTGCTGGTGTTCAAGTTCGTCGGCTGTGCGCGCGAGAGAATCGAAGAGATGGAGAGAGAGGCATTCCGAGTTGCGTTTATATCATTTTCTAATTCAGGTTTATTGTTTATATAATTATCAGTAAATCGTGTAACTGATCTTTAAAGTGGGTCATCAAAGTTCTTAGGAATATTACGTAGTCGTAATGAGTTATTTGATAGTTTTATCAATTTAAACGTATCGAAGGCGCGAAGGTTATATATAACTGATATGTCTCTTTGAGTCTTTTAAATGTTGTGCTTGTCGCTACCGATGACTTGATCCGAGAAAATGCATGTACTGCTTTTACTGGCCCAAACTTACGCCGGAACATTGATATAGAATTGCCCGACTCTGGCAGTGAATTTTCATTTCGCGACGTAAGAACTTTTAGTTATCCATTCGTTATATTCGCCTGAATCTGCCTTACCTATATTTTCCGAATATATAGTTGTGCGGTAGTTGGCTTCCTCACATTTTGGAAGGCCCAACTCACCCGAGTTCATCAATTGAAGTTAAACCTGACAGTTATATTTTCCGATTCAAATAGCAGCAATTATATATATTGGCTAAAGTATAGTGTATAGAGACTTCTAAGGGGCACCCATTAAAAATATGATTGAATTTGTATAAAGTCAGTGTTTTATTATTATACACAGAAGTGCAATATCAGTCATATGAAAGAGCTTTTTTAGCGTTGCGTTGATACCAGTTTTAATCGTGCTGGGAACTGGGATTATGTTAAAAATTCTCTTAAGTGGAACAATAATTTTAGTGAAGAGCAGTTTGACGTAATCGTCAACAAAGAATTTGCATGGTATTAATTAATGCGTGTGAGAGCATCGATTAAATTTACCCGTTCAAAACTGTGAGTTCTTTAAATATTGTTCATAGAATTACAAAGTTAATAAGGACTTTTTCTTTACAAACTTATTTGTGGGCTGAATTATACGTCGAAAAGGATGGAGATTACTGCCAAAAAGATTGCGGCTTATAGAAATTGTGTTTTTGAACTGGCTAAATTGGGACACAGGGCTGAACTAGACGATAAATGAGGGGTGAATTTTCATATATTCTCTTCTGCCCGACGGATCTTTTTTGAAAACGTATAAATTATACGTGCATACATAGAAATCCGCCAGGCAGAACAAATGTATAAATATGCACCCTCCACACTGAAGCCTTTCGTGTAGATATGATCCAGGCCTCCACGCAGAAATTTCGTAGGTAAAAAGGCAGAAATTTTTCTTTTTTCTTTGAAATTTCAGCCCCAAAAGCCTTGATCATACCTGCATGAAAGGCTTCATGATCCGCCATCTTGAGTTCACTGTGTGCCGGTATTATAACTATGGTAACCAATCAAATATTAAAAAGGGACACTAAATATATATTAAAAGCGACACTAAATATTCATGATCGCGACCTTTAGTGTGCGAATTGAAAGCGATTAAGGCGATCATTCTCATGAGTTTTCTCATGCTTGTTCGTTGCGGTTTCTTATAGATTGGTTAAACACAATAAATTAATAAAGTAAATTAGCTTATAATTATAGGTATAACACTACAATGCTAATCTACTTATACTTGTAAATGGTTTAACCTTTTTTACTTTTCAGTTTTTTAAATGTGCATTAAGCTAAAACCTCTTAAACTAATTGATTTCACAATTTCACTTGTCACTGATAGCATTACAATGTGCACGTTCAACTCGTTGATCGAAATCGCATTTCACGCCTGGAGGATATATTTAAAAAATAAAAAACTCCAACCCCAAGTGGACACTTTAATGAAGAAAAACAAAAATTCGGAAATGGCGCGGATCACTAGCAATAGGGCCTTGCAGCATACATCTACCCACCAGATACAAAAATCACATTAAGTCCAATCTTCCCAAGCCTGATGTTGTGGCTGAACGATAAAAAGGATACGCCAGAAGGAGTTGAAGGTAACAGAAAGTGGGATGAATTTGAGAGAAGTTCTAACTGGTCAAAAGAGCACGAAAATATTTTCTATAAAATGCTCACGTTTCGAAAGGAAATTGATTGCAAGAATGCCGATTTTCAAGAAAGATTCAATGACTAGGAAAAACTATATGTTCAAGATATATGTAAAATGAGCGGACAATTAAATCAATATTGAAAACTTCTTGCTGAACGAAATGAAATTTTTTGGCAATGTCAGAAATTCTATAACAATGTAAAGGGATTCCTTGGCGCAATTAAATTACATGTCAGTATGGTTTAAAGTTTAAACCTCAGTGGAAGGACATAATTATAAAAAACAGAGCTTCCGTTCGTAAAAACACGAAACCTTTGATTGTTCACGAAGGAAAGGCTTCTCCACATTTCGACCTTTTGGGCAACCTAAAAAGCCATGGCCAATTATTTATCTAACATAAGGCACTAAAATCGATTCCTTTAAAAACTCATGCAGCGCCAATTGCTGAGACGGATTTGAATTTTTTGCCCTCTTGAATAGAATGACCTTCAGAACTTCAGATCATCGATTTAAACCGATTAAGAAAGTCAGTCTATAATTAAGTGAACGTGATCAATTAGTATATTTTTACAGATATGCATAGATATATCAAATTACTTTTACATGCAAAATCTTAATAAGTAGGAAGCCAGACTATAGTTTTGATGTCTCCTAAATATTTTCCCGATGTTTGTTTTGGCTTTAGAGTTGCATGTGAGGTGGGTTGAACCATATGTTTCGTGTGCGCTGTGTCCTATATTTTTTGAAGATTATATTTTCGGATTATATTTTGTAATAAGAACCTATTATATAGCCTGTCAATGAAAAAATACTATTTATTACGTCCAGAGAAGCCTTTTCTGTTTTTTCTGGATTGTATGATCTTGCTCGCTTCGATCTCCATGTAATACCACTTAATATTATGCTCTTTCAAATGGCAGACTATACACTTCCTTATAATTCAGTAGCGTTTCGCTTTTCATATTAATTGTATTGAAAGAAGCCTTATGGTTTGAATACCTATATAGTTTTATCATTTTCAGTGAGTCCATTGGGGGAATAAGCGCTGGTAGAAGTTACTGTGACTTGATAACTATTATTAGATGGATTTTATCTCATTTAAAGAAGTTGGTTTAATGTAGGCGGCTCCTCTTCTAAATGCGCTATAATCATAGTAGTAAAACTGATAAAAATTACGTATAATGTATGTTTACTGTGCTAATAACAGTGTTATAAATTTATAAAACGAATACAAAGTACCGGGTAGTCATAGGCTGGTCTATATATTACCATATGTTTTTAATGTATGCAATCGAGAACTGAAACGGATGTCAAACGCCAAGGAAAAACATGCCAACATTTAATTGCACACGTGAATTTCTGAGCATTGTGACATCTCGTCTTTGAGTGGTTAACCTTTTCATGCGTATAAACCAATTTAGGCATAATTCCAAATAGTTTGGTCATTACAATTGTTTCTTCAGCCAATTCTAACCATGGTATTCTAAGAAAAGAAAGCCTGCTAATGGCCCAGAGAAACCTATTGCCTAATAGTAATTTTCAATCCTATCAATTAACACTCTTCTAATTTGCTGGTATATTTCTTGTGTCTGTTATCATCATCAATTAACACTGACGCTAACTCTTGAAATTCCTTTCTAAATTAATATATTCCCTATAAATTTGAACTTTATGCTATATACTAGATAGAATAACTAGTATTTAGTCTGATGATGTCTGTGACCTTTCGAAAGCTGAAACGGATGCTGAAAATTGTCTCGTTCGAGCTTCTAACAGGAAGATCAAACAAGGACAACAAATCGATCAGTAGATATAAATAGAGAGCTACATATAGTCATATGATATTCAGTTCAAGTCACAGTGGTCATTGGATATAGTTGCGAGTGGAATTGGCACAAGTAAGTTCGTAAAGGTATAATTTTTGTCTATTTATATGTTATAATAAACCAGACCACGGGTCGTTGTAGCGCTGCGGCGTCAATAAAGACTGCAAGTCAGGTACTATATATTGTACTAGGCTGACAATATAGTTAATTTGTAGAACCTGATTCAAACCGTCCAAAATGACTTTTATAAATTTCCGCGTTCATGGTAAATCCGGATCGTTAGACGGCATTAGTAAATACGCAGGCTCTCGATCGTTATAAATATTACAGATAACATCTTCAATAAAGCAAAAAATGCTAAAGTATAATGCTTTTTAACTAAGGTATTAATATATACCTTTGCAGTGAAGATGATGACTTCCAGTCCAAATGTCTGGAGATGAAAACATTCTTTGTCCAGCGCGGCTATTCTTCCAAACTTATTCACACTGCCTTATCCCTCTGACATTTCCCGCTTAGACACCCTAAAGCCGTGTTTACACTACAAGCCTGAGCCTGGCCTAGGCCTGGCTTTGGCCTAGATCTTCCTAGTGTAAACACACTTTGGCCTGGCCTAAGCCTGGCCTAGGCCAGGAAATCTAGGCCCATCATATGATCATAACAGGTGGCCTAGGCCAGGCCCAAGCTTGGCTTTTTGGCGGGAAAAGCAAATAAACATGGAATTTGAATTTGAACTGGACAGATGAGGAAACTGAAGCTTTGCTAAACCCTGGGGTGAAGAAAATGTCCAGAAGAATTGGACAACTACAGTATTCGTAACAATGTGATTTATGGTAAACTTTCAGCGGCCTTGTCGGACTAGGGGATTTTACGTACTGCTAAACAGTGCAACCACAAACTAAAACATCTTTGCGAAAAATACAGAGAATATAAAGAATGTAAAGTTTACACAAAGTAAAAAAACTTGTGATATGGAAACCGCTGAAATTCTAGGCCAAAGTCAGGCTATCGAAGCGTAAGTGTAAACGCTTCGTTCTAAAAAGATTTAGGCCAAAGCCAGGC